CCGCCCCCAGCCAGCATGCCACCTTGGACAAGGCACTCAGCTTCTCGGAGCCTCCAGTCACCATCCACACACCCTCCTCACGGTGCCATGAAAGGGCCTGAGCTTCACCCTGTTAAAGGCCCCAGGGGCTCCCCATTGTCTCTAGACTGAAGTCCAAGGCCGCTCGGCCCAGCACCCGGCTCCCTTCCCAGGCCCTCCACCCTTCCCGCCACCATCCGTGCTCCAGACTTGCTGAACAGTTAGTTCTTCCTGAGCAATTCCAGATCTCCACGCTACTCTCTCAAGTTACCTTAGTCTCCAGCTCTGCCTGGTAAACTCCTGTTGATACTGCAAGACCCTGTCCAGATGTCCCCTCCTCTATGAAACTTTCCATTATCCTCACAAGTAAAGTTAAGTCACACCTCCTTCTGGGCTCCCACATAACCTGGGCTTAGTCAGAGAGGAGGCCAATATTACCCTCAGCTCAGTCCTCCTCACTGGGAGTGCTCCCAGTTCACCAGCCCGGTGGCTATTGCAAGAGCTGCTGTGTTAGTTCAATATGGCCCTGCTGCCCTGGCCTCAGCTGATTGGTCTTGAGAGAGTCACCTGATTTCAAGCTGGGCCAATCAGAGCACTTTGCCAGGACTATTGGAACTAGAACTGGGAATGAAAATTCAGTCTCTCTCTGGTGACCACAGTTGTAAGGTATAAAATTCAGAAGCCTCCAGCCATGTGTTTGCCACAATGTGGAACAAACCAGTAAGAGATCTGAAACCCAACTTGGAACACGAGAGTTTCCGATAGACCTTTGAGCCCAGGTCCCAGTGGCCCCTGAGGCCTCCTGTTCTTCCCAACCCAGGGGTCCAACCATCCTTGGATTCCATGTCATGCCCAGGTCTGGTTCAGGAAACCCCTCAGCCCCTTACAGCTCCTGTGAGTGTTTCTGTCCTTGTCCCTGAGGACAGCAAGGGCCCCTCCCCTCCTGAGAGCCCCACAGGGTGATTCACTCGGCCTTTCACTCACACAGCCTCTTCTTGCAAGACCCTGAACTAATGCGTATTTTTATTTTTATATTTTCTTTCTTAAAAAGACCCCCCAAGGGCCGGCCGAGTGGCTCAGTTGGTTAAAAGCATGAGCTCTGAGCAACAGGGTCGCCAGTTCGATTCCCACATGGGCCAGTGAGCTGCGCCCAAGCTGAGTTGCCACTGAGCTGCCAACAGGTAGCAAGATGGCTCAGCTGGTGAGAGCACGTGCTCCTAACAACAAGGTTGCTGGTTCGACTCCCACATGGGATGGTGGGCTATGCCTACCCACAACTAAGATTGAACACGGCACCTTGAGCTGAGCAGCCTCGAGCTGCCAACCGGCGGTTGGATGGCTACTGGACTTGGAGCTGAGCTAGCTGCGCCCTCCACAGCCAAGACTGAAGGACAACAACTTGGCTGTTTCCTTCCCCAATTCCCCAATAAAAGAAAAATCTTAAAAAACGAGACCCCCAAAATTGCATAAGGTTCAGACCCCATGGGACCCAGACATGGGAGTCCCCAGAGACCCAGATCTGTCTGTGTCCTCTCTCAGCCCGGTGCCCAGCACACAGAAGATGCACAGGAAGTGTGGACATGACCCCAGTGTCCTATAACTACTTTCGTGCTTCCTGGCCTGGCCCCCTCAAGCATGGGGACTCTGCAGCTGGCGGCATCTGCAGGTCCCTCTAAGGTCGTGTTCTAACGGAAACGTGTCGTTTGCAAGGAGCCGGACGTGCTCACACAGGCTGTGTCTGCCCCAGGTCTACAGTGGCCATTTCAGGCCACTGCCCCCAGCAGTCAGGAGGCCTCCCCGGGTCCTCCCTGGTGTGTCCCTGTGAACGCCCCCTCCCCTGGCTGGTGAAGGAGCAAAACCCCCACCCCCAGCCCCTGGCACCACTGAAACTAAAACATCATGCTCACCAGGGCTCCAGTCACTGAATCAAACACTAATAAGCTCCCCTAATTTCTCTAAGACAATATTAGCCATTCAGAATGGAACATAAATGCTAATAAGACCACGGCTGTCTGGAAGCCCAGGAGAGACAGGCTGGGAAATGGTGATTTATTGTGTGTTTGGCCGAGGCGGCCATGCCAGGCCCGCACAGCGACCTTGTAAAATGGAAAGTGAACGGATTCCCTACAGCTGGCGAAACCATCCATGCTGCAGAGCTCCCCGCAAGTGTGGGGCGCAGGCCTGTGGGGTCCGTCTCGTGGACACTTGCCCTTACTCAACACACAGCTCTGATCCTGCAGGTCGAGGCCGCCTTACTCCACAGCAGTGGCTGTCTGGGGGCGTCAGCTTGAGCAGTTTTGTGGTAACCACGTCTGACCCCACCGTGACCCTGCATCACAGGCGTTCTTAACCCAACTCACAGGTGAGAAAACTGAGGCTTCAGAGAGTCTGAGCCACTTGTCCAGGTGTGTGTCAGGT